GGGGGGGGGGGGGGTCGAAAGTCGGAATTTTTATGCTCTCACCACCTAGGATTGTTCTATAACAAAAGAGATACCCCTATTTTTTATTTTGGAAACAAAAAATATTTATAGGTCGCTCAAAGCGCTCAAAGTTTCCCTTGCACTTTATATAAAAAAAGAACTTTTCGTAGAAATGGTATAGAATTCTTGAAAATCACTATTTTTCGATCGGAAAACTCCGCTTCTCTTCTGGAGATTCCCAATATTAACCAATTATTTATTTAACCATTTTTGGTATTAAAAAATGGTTAAATAAACAATTGGGTATTGTTATTGGAAGTCTCCTGAAGAGAAGCAAAATATTGATTTTCAAGAATTCTATACCATTTCTACGAAAAGATGTTTGTTCTCATATAAAATACATGCATGGAAATCTTTGAACGCTTCGAGCGACTTCTACAAATTTTTTGATTTCGAATAATTTCAGGTGTAGGTATATTTTTCTAACAATTATTTTTTTTCAAATAATTTGTTTATAATCTGAACGATTTTCATCATATTATTATCATAAATCAGTAACAGTAAGTCTCGCCTTCAATTTGGTAATTATTACGTACCGATCGAGTAACATTTACCAAAGTTATATCGAAAAACTTAAATCGGTCTCCAGTTTTTTTCTAAAAAAATTTCCCTTAAATTGTATAAATAACCTTTAAATGAAAGAACCGGATTACAGAAAGGTGTGCCAGTGAGTGGCTTTTTTCGTTCAAGCTGAATACAAAGCAATATCGTCCAATTGGAGAGACCTCAAAAGGATTTCCCAAGACATGTTAAAGACTATTGCATTTACCTACAGTCACTTTTTCACATCATGGAATTAACTAAAATATTTATGTATATCTAAACACTTATTGCACGTCCACTACTTTCATATAACGGCAAATTTAAAAACCGCGAAAAATTTGTTTTTTTCGGTGACTAATGAAACCATTCCGCACCAATTTTCAAGACTGCATAAATGGACTTAAAATGTATTATATAATGTATGTAAATACTTATATGCTTGAAACTACTATTAACTTATCAAACGATTCCTTATCTTTGAAAATACATGTTTTACTTCATTCAGTCCATGGTCTTTTTAATATTATATAAACATCCGAAAACATTAAAACGTTTGAAAAACATCTCGTCTCACTTTTTTGTATTTTTCAGTTGGTTGCTGAAGTAATGAAGAATTGAAAATTCATAAGGGAAAATTATAGTTTTTGTAAGTTTTATGTTAATATCTTAAAAACTTGGAGACTTATTGAAAAATGATAAATGAAGGTGAGGTACTTAATTTAATAACCCTTAATTTTATATATCGTCCTGTTTATAACAATTAACGCATTCCATAGATATTACAAGCCAAAGTTACATTTTCAAAATTCATTCACTCTGATTCAATTGCGCAGGCTAAAGATAAGTTTTAAATTAATCTTTCGTGGCCAATAACAATTGGCTTAAACCTAAGACATCATAATATTACTATTACAATATGGTCAAATGCCTTTTATTTCTCCCCATACAAAATCGACTCAGCCTAAGGTACATAAATATATAATACGCGAAGGAATTTTTTGTCCAGGATATAAGATCTGCACCGTTTGCTCGATTACCAAAAATCGGGTGTCAAATTAAAGCGATTGGCCTGTAGACGTGCAAACTGGTTTTATTTTTCCGAAAAGAGTTGCCACTTGCAAAACAAATATACTCAAATTATTTAATAATCAATGCCATCAGATCTGCCCCGTGTCGTTCGATTTTCAAAAGTGAGGTGCTAAAGGCGCGGACTGTAGATGTGCAATGTGGGTTACTTTTTTGAAAAGAGTTGCCACATTTTAAAAAATTAAGTTGAAATTATTTAAAAAGTTAAACCGATTATTACAAAATGGGTATCAATCGAAATGGGGTTATACAGCTTTGTTTCTTAACATCACTGTAGGAAGGGTACCACCTGTTTAAAAAATTAAATTAAGGGAATTAGGTAATCTACATGTATGTATGTATCACCATGTGGGCGCTAGACGAAAAGATTTTAAGAAGATAATAGTTTGTAAATATTTTGAAGAGGGTTGCCATCTGTTTCAAAAGTCGAATTCAGTTAACTTTTACATAACGAAATATTAAAATATGTCAAACAAAAGAGTGTTAAGAAATCTTTAGTCACTAGCAATATTTTTGAGGTGTTTAAAGAGGGATGCCACCTGTTTAAAAAGTTAAATCCAAATTATTTGATAAGCTAAGTAAATTATTAAAATATTGGTATCTATCGATTTGGGTTTGACAAGGCTTTATTTCTGAACTATATTTAGAGGGTTGGCACATGTTTAAGAAATCGAATTGAACTTAATTCATCAGTTAATTAAAATATGTACCACAATGCAAGACGAGGGTAATTTAAGAAGATTATAGCATGAAAATACGTTTGAAGCGGGTTGCCACCTGTTTAAAAAGTCGAATTTAATTAACTTATACGAAAATTATTTGAAATGCGGGTGTCAAGCGAAAAATTGTTAGGTGAAGGAAATTTAGGAATGTTTTAGCTTGAAAATAATATATACGAGGGTTGCCGCCTATTTGAAAAGTCGAATTTGATTAACTCATATACAAATTATATGAAATATTAAAATACGGGTGTCAAAAGATAGAGTGTTAAGAAAATCTTTACTGGGAACAACTGTTTAAAAAGTTACATTCAAATTATTTTGTAAATTAGATGAATTATGAAGAGATGGACATGAATCGAAATAGGTTTGAAAAGGCTTTATATCTGACGTTTATTTAGGAGGGCTGCCACGTGTTTGAAAAATCAAATTCAAATTAATTCATCAGTTAGTTCAAATTTGTATCACAAGAGAGAGAGACAAAGGGATTTTAGCTTCAAAATACGTCTGAAAATGATTTCCACCTGTTTGAAAAGTCGAATTTAGTTAACTTATCCACAAGTTTCATGAAATATTAGGATATGGGTGTCAATCGAGAGAGATTTATGAAAGCTTAAGTTTGAAAACATCTTTTATTAGGCTTTATCTTATTGAAAAGTCATACTGATCTAACTAATTATACACCTATATTATTCGAGAGGGAATTTTTTTGAATTTTATTAGATTTGCACCGTTCTTTCCAATTTCAAGTATGAGAGTTGGATTAAAGTCATTGGTCTGTATATATGGGTTAAGACTTTATTTTTTGAAGTTGGAACTTTTTTATCGGTACAGTGTGATTTGAAATTTTGGAGATATTAAAAACCGAAACTATGCTAGATCCCTCTTCACTAAGCTACGGCTGCACGGCATTTAGAAGAAATATGGCACTCGGATCACTTATAACTATGATTAACATTTGGAATATTTTTTAGATTTTTGAAATTGAATTTTAGGCGTTTTAACGCAATATGGGTTCACTAGTATTTCAGTATTACCTGATCATACTGCAGCCTAGGATGTCCACTTGACAAAAATTTTGTAAAAATATAAACTTTCGGTATGCAATTTATTGTGTTGCCTTCTAAATTGAAACCTTTTTTATTTTTTAATACCTATAAATATACTTACATATAGATATAAATCCGTACCTTAATTCACAAAGGCCCTAAACAACAAATGAAAAGTGGCATGTAACTCCGTTTTTTTAGTGCCTTTGTGAATTGACGATATGTATATACATTTATAACATA